TGAGATCAACAAGCCTGGACCAGCACATTTTATCAAGGAGCTGTTCCTTGAAATATTTTCCTCAAATCCTTTGCAATGAGGAGGAATCCACTGAATTAAATCAAAGGCAATTTTCTATCAATTTAAGCCTAGAATATGCTGCAATGAGTAGCCCAGTTATGTTCATCTGGAAGGTTTAACAATTCTAGCAATATATATATATGACAAAAAGGAAGTTAATCATGCCTTTGGTCTTTAAGTGTGGATTCTGAGAATCAGGGCAAATTGGCTTTTAAAGATACCAAAGCCAAGCTCATTACAGAGGAGGGTGCTTTACCAAAGGCCAAAGGCAAAATGACTGCCTATTGTGGGAATCCATCGAGCTGATTCTGGGTATTGAGATTGCCCCCTACAGGCAGCTGTGGGAATAATAGAAGAGCAGGTGAGCATGACAGAGGAACACAAATAGTGTGGTCACCCATGGCTATATGCTATTTCAGCATTTGGAAAGATCCTCATGGTGAGGTGTCCCTCAGCAATGATGCTGCCACCTAAAGTAGTCACACAGTCATGGCCAAAGAGGAAACTATTGTCAAAAAGGACACAGATTTGAACATCTCTTGCAGATGCTTATTTATTTGTACTGATAAGGGTTTTTTTGAATTAATAGGAGATGGCCCAAGAGAATTCCATATCTAAGAAGAATGGAGGTCCCATTGTTCTGCTACTTCTCACCATTCATTCACTCATGTACATCCCTTCCTCTGTGGCTGGCCAGTTGCCCAACAAGTATCATGCTTAGGGGATCTTCAGAACAACACATCGTGAAGGGTGGACACTCCCATGGCCTCACAATGCACCACTATGAATTCCCCTCAGAGGGCATATATAAAGCAGCAAGTAGGGACCGCAAGCTCTTCCAGGAAGCTGCATCTCTTAGACGAAGCTGCATTGGACAATGGACTGGAAGACTGGAGTGAGGGCTTGGCTCTAATTCACTTCCTGCCCCAGTCCGATCTCTGAAACAGTTACTTCACTGCACCTTAGGCTGCAGTTTTTTATTCTGCTTTATTTTTTATCTTGTTTTTTGTAGCTTTATTCTTGTATGATTTCTGGTTAAGCTTATGCAATAATACATTTGAAAAAAGAAATATGAATTACATTTTGGAATAGTAAAATTAAACCTATTCAGCAATGATTCCAATGTCTTTTTCCCCACAGAGTAATAGAGGGACAGTGGAAGGGGAAAAAAAAACTTTTTCTCATAGCAATAAAGGGAATTAATACAGAGTGACATCTGCATACCTCTTGTGAAAAACAATCCAGTTGGAATATCTCTGGTGTCTGATGCAAGTATAGAGCTCCAAAGTATATGCAGAGCTCTGAATAAATACCCAGGCTTTCCCCATCCCTTCCCAGTTTTTTTTTTTTAAATGTAGCTTAGGGAATGAATAGACAGTTTCATGTGCCTATTTGTCTCTTGCAAAAACAATTAAGTTGGGGAGTCTGATGTCTGATGAGCATTCAAAGTACTTCCAAATTTCCCCAATCTTTTTGGTTTTCCAAGCTTCAGTAATCTCTTACAAAGATTGCAGAGAACACTGATCTACATGTAACCCCAAGTGCTCTCTTCCACCTTCTTTTCCCGGTTTAACAGAACAGCGCTGCAACTTTCCATTCCAAATCAAACAGGAAAACCACAAGTACCTTCTGGATCTTGCCTATTCAGTTCAATCTCCATAGGACTCTATATCGGGTCAAAAGGTTATGGAATACAGAACTTACAGCAATCATAAGAAGACGTTCATTCTATTTAAAGTAAATCATTCTGTGCAACTACTAATCCACCCGTTGGGCTCTTTGATTGGTGCCATAGTTATGCCAGCTCAGCTACCTTTATCAATGCAGAGCAAGCATTGTAATATTGAGTGATGATGCCTCTTACAAGTTCATAATGTATAAGAATTCAAATGTACAGTGTGTGCATGCACTGATTGTTCTACACTAAATTTCATATGCTTTTTCATTTCAACTTTTGAGTTGACTTCTGCCCAAGGGGCTGAGGAACAGCTGGAAGGGACAAGCATCTGTAAAAATCACACAAGAATTAAAGTGTGCTGAACTCCTTCACTTCCAAGGTGACAGCACCCCCTTGCTACAGCATAGGTTTCCCTTGCAGCTGAGGTATCATTCTAAATAATACTCATGTACAATCAAAGATACTTTTCTACAATGTGCCTCAGGGATGAATGACTCAAATTACTGGCAGTGCATAGCAACAGGAATGCTTGGAAAAGAAGCAAAAGGTGGAAACATCAGACTATTCCGAATGCTATGAGAAAAGCAATTGGCACTTCGATTCAGGTTCTGTCAAGCTTCTCAATAGACCAAGAAGTGTGAAAAAAACAGTAACAATTCATATCATCAACCAAATCTTGGAAAGACTTCAAGATGATGGGACAATGCTGATGCCTTGCAGCCATTCAAGTTTGGATAGGTTTGTATCTCACAGGTCTTATGCAAATTCTTATTCCTCTGGGGCGGTTCTGCCCATTCTACTAGTCCTACCACATAGCTGTCTTCTCTGTATGTAAATGCAATGAAATCGGGTATGTCAGCTACTGGGGCAGCACCAAGTAGCTTCTGTGAGGCTTCCTGGTGGATTCAGATCCAGATGATGACCAGACTAAGACTCATTTAGCTGGAATGTAACAACATCAACACACCCTTCAAACTTCTTCTGGAGTCAACGAGCCACAATGTGAACAATTTGCAGTCAAAAAGAAGGATCTAGATTCAACAGATTTCAGATTTTGAACTGACCAATTCCTGGAATAACTCAACAGAGGAGTCCTCAAGCACACCATTTTTCCTAAAAGCAATGTTTCTCTTAAGGCCACAGTTCATCATGGGAAAGGACAAACATCAAATTACTTCTCCTTGTCAAAGATTTGTTCTTCATGACACCTCCTTTTAATTTTCCAATCTTTGGTTCTGAAGTCATGCCACTGGGACTATTTCAGAATAAAACTTATAAGGTGCATGTGCCTGCATATATGAACAGAGAGAGAGACAAAGAAAGATATACGCATCCTAGGAATAGGCTTTGGGGGTATTCCCTTAATGATTATGAAAATAAAATCAGGAGTTTTCTTGCCAGAACATTTTTAATACCATAACTCGTGAAAGAAAACTAAATGTAATAATAATAGAATACATTTATTTTATATAATATTGCCCCCAAAATGTTTGTGGGTCGTGGTGGTGGGGTTGATTCAATGTCAGTTTTTTCATTCAAAATATGTTGATCAATATAAGCACTCTTTTCTAATAAAAGTGTATTCATTTAAATCAAAAACCAACTGTATGATCCAAAAACAAGTTAACATAGGAAAGTGTTGATGTTCGTGGCCGAAATCTTTTTTTAAATCTTTTTTTAAGTTACATTTTCTTTTTTAAAACCCCTGATATTTAAATCAAAGGAATATGTAAGAACAGTGCTGCAAAATCTATTCTTCCCTACTGATGCTCCTCCTTTTCACATGGGTGAAAGACCACAGAGAAAAGCATCGAATTTTACAGCAGGTAGACGGATAACCTAGTCCAGCTGCACATTCAGCATGGGAATCTTGCAATTAGCGCATCCCTGAGAATTAGTTGTACAGCCTGAGCTTTACGTACTTTCCACAAAGGAGAGCCCTCCACTCCCCAAAGCACTCCGACCCACGATCAAATAGCGATTATCCTTCGGAAAGTCTCAGGACATTCAGATAAACCATAACAGATACATGTAGCATTGCTCGCTTTTATGGAATAATAATTTAATCTGGGATGTGTGCAAACCATGAGCTGATTTAAAGACCCTTCTTATCCCAACCTGCCGTATTCCCAAACAAAAGTAACTTTAGAACTTGTTCGACTTGCTTGTTCTAGTGCACTCAGGAGATCTTTACAATGGCACTTAGGCACCCAGCACCCACAGCCATCTGCAAAGAGACACATGAAGTCTTATGTAAAGATCATTAGCAATGTGCCAAAGGTGTCTCTGCTGTTAGAGGAGCAGATTAGGCTTTAAAGCTGCAGTCCTGAAAAAACTCATAGGGAGTAGTGCCACTGGACACAATATAGACTGCTTCCCCCCCCCCCCAAAAAAAATCCCGTAAAAGGAAATGCAAAATAGGGAATGGGGCTTCAAGGAAGGGAGAACTCAGCCACAACCTGCTCAACTATGGAATTCCTTACTACTGACCACACTCAGTGGCAAAATATATGCATTGCATGCAGAAGATCTGTGGTCCAATTCATTGAATCTCCACAACAAAGATTTTAGCTCCAGGGAACTGGTGCAGCTCACAAAGGGCCATATATGGACCCCAGGTGTAGTCAGTCTACTGTAAGGTATCTAGTCCCCCTCACAAGTGTTCTGTGTAGTGAACAATGTAAGAATGTAAAACTGCATTTTGAGGTGGTCCATTGGAAACCATGCAAAAGTGAATAGACAGTTATGCAGAACAAACACTTTGCAAAAGGCAAACAAGGGGAGGCCCACTTTGCAGACACAAGGGTGTGTGAAGTACACTTTTCCTGATATCTGACTGTCAGTTGGGTAGCCGGAGTATAAATATGCAGAACTGTGGTTATTACACTGTCCTTTTATTTGCTTTTTGCTGCTAATGAAATAATCTCCTAAAAATAAAAAAAGGAAAAATGTTGATCCCTTCAAGGTGTCTCTCCCTCACAAACTCTTACACCAGTTTTAAGAGTGTTGTATTGACTGGAGTAGGTGTGTATTGACTGGAGTAGGTGTGTCAGAGGAGGCAAGTTGCTGCAAGGCCCCATCAAACATCTGAATATCCCATTGTCTTGAATCCTGTGCCAAGTTCTTTCCCAAACAGATAAAAGGGGAGGTTTCCCACTCCTTTATATCAGAGAGGTTCTGCCTGCTTCTTTCTCTGCTCTTTCCCTGCAGTGCTGCTTACCATCCCAAACTTTCTTCACCTTCTCTGTCCGAGCAAACCATCATGAGTCGTGTTTCCTATCGAGCATCCTCCGGAGGAGCTAACAGAGGCTTTACCTCCGGCTCTGCAATTGTCGGTGGTGGTGGCGGCGGTGGCGGGAGAACCAGTTTCAGCTCCTACTCTGTCACTCGAGTTGGAGGAGCAAGAGGTGGAGGGGGTGGCGGCTATGGACTTGGTGGATTTGGCAGCCGAAGCCTGCACAACATGGGTGGAAGCAAACGAATTGCCTATAGTACCATTGGTGGAGGTCTAAGATCTTGTTACGGTGGAGGAGGATATGGCTTTGGTGGAGGAGCTGGTTTTGGTTATGGTATGGGCGCAGGTGGAGCTGGCTATGGTATGGGTGGGGGTCCTGGGGGTGGCTTTATGGTAGGTGGACCAGGTTTTGTAAGAGCTGGTCCAGGTTATCCAGTTTGCCCCCCTGGTGGCATCCAAGAAGTGACCATCAACCAGCACCTCTTGCAACCCCTCAAGCTTGAGATTGACCCAGAGATTCAACGAGTGCGTTCTCAAGAAAGAGAACAGATCAAGACACTCAACAACAAATTTGCCTCCTTTATTGACAAGGTAAGAGCAGTTATTAATCCTATTTGACCATTCATACTTTGGGGACGCTAAATTTGAGGCAGCCCTTCACAAACTCAAGTCACCAATCCAATGGCTGTTTAAAGTCATCTTTGGATATTCTCTTAGGAGGTCACATCTGATATAGGCATGTGGGCAAAAACGGGCAACTATTTCTAATGTTGTCCAAAGTCATTACAACCAACAAATTACCCAATTAGCTTCTTTATTCTAAGGATGAATGGTCATGTAAAATTGAATGACTTCTAGCCTATGATCTGCTGTGAAAAAGTAAGGCCCCAATTATAGACAATTTGGCCATCTTAGTTTCAAAGTCAGATTAATTTGATGCCATTCTTAAATATTTCAATTGTGAGAATAAAGCAATTATTTCCCCTGTTTTCTTGACTTGTGTACTTAGTTTGTGGAATCCACAAATAGCAACACAGACTGAGGTCAATTTATCAAAATCTTGTTTTAAAAATAGGTGATGCAGATATAGTAAGAGCTAAGGCCAAGAAAGGATGCCTCATATATTCACTGCAGATGACAGAAGTCTATACAGTAATTCATTCCCAAATTATATTACCTTTATTGATCCAGATTGCAGTTTGGTATTGTTTGGGAGAGGAGCATGCTAGCATGCAACATTTTGTCAATACTTTGAATGTTGCAACAAATCTCTTTGCAACAAATCTCTTTGCCATCTACTTTGGTAATTGGGGGCTCTCTGCACGCTGTAGTGTGTGTGCAGTTCCACTGAAGCTACAGATTTTGAGGACTAGGTTATGGAGGATAAATATATAATTGCTAAACAATGAGTCTAAATGTATACATTTTTAAAAGGGCATATTTTTCATGTCATTCTCTGCTAGATTTCACAACCTCCTCCTTACCCCCATTTTTTTCTTTCTTTTTCAGCCTCCTTTGCTATTCTTTTTCCCTCCTGAGTTGCCGTCTTTGATTTGTTCTGTAGCATACACTGTTGACACCATCTTTACATGTGGAACTTTGCAGAGCTACACAAGCGACATATCGTTTTCTGACAAAGCAATAACTTTGTTTACATGCCTCATTTTCATCCCCTTGTCTATTCTACCTTGCAGGTCCGATTCTTGGAGCAGCAAAATAAAGTCCTTGAGACCAAATGGGAACTCTTACAACAGCAGGGGACGACTGTTCGACAACACAACATTGAGCCTCTTTTTGAGGGATATATTAACAACCTCAGGAGGCAGCTGGATTCTCTACTAAATGAACGGGGAAGACTTGACTTAGAACTGAGGAATATGCAAGACATGGTGGAGGACTTTAAGAACAAGTAAGTAGTTTTCCATTCTATTCCATTCAGTCTAATATATTGAAAGAGCTGTAGCTGGCCGGGTGGGGACCAGAGTTACTTAGGCTAGACAGAACTGTTATGTAAACACTGAACAGAATCTCCATCTCTCAAGGCTGGGGAAACAATGGCCATTGACTCAAAAAAGCAGGACAGAAAAAAAATTCTCCGAAGCAGACATATACAGAGGGCTTGATTTCCATGTTCTGCTTAGATATGATTTCTGCATAAAGCAATTTATCTATAGCAGTGTCATATTTGTGAAGCTTCCACTGTAAGCAAGTTACTGAATGTCTGGAGACCCAAGAGTTCATGCCATGCCTGGTGTAAAATCTTATCTATATATGTACATAAAAGGTTGATATTTCCAGATAAATGCAAAGAAGATTGCTTAGATTTGATATTAAGAATCTGAATGCATATATTACCAGGCATTCTCTATTCACCTCAAACCATCCAATGAGCGGTATGAACGCCTTCTATTGGGAAGAATCCTGCACATTTGCACTGCATTCCTATCATAAAAGCCAGAGTTTGGTTTTAAGATGGGTGTCCATACAACTATTTTTAAATAAAATAAAATAAAATAAAACAAAACAAAACAGCCAGATGGCAGACAATATCACTCCTTTCCTTTTCTAAAAGATTTGGGAACTTTGTTTCATCTGCTTGATTTGAACCAAATGCAAGCTCCAGGGCATTTGCTTCCCAAACCCACATCATTAACATGTTTATTCAGGTTGATAAAGGCTTACATGGATCTATAAATCTTATCCATGAACCTCATGCCTAACCAAACTATTTATGTTCTTGGGAGTCTAGAAAAGCTTTTGGGGACTAAGGTTTGGCAGTGAACATTAGTGAACATTATGTCAGAATGAGATTGACAAACACTAACTACTTCACAAGTACGCAGACAGCTTGCTAAATAACAGACAGAAATCGGAAAGTGTCAAAATAGATTCTGCTCAGCAGATTGCAATCCTACCCCAAAGCTTAATTTCCCCATATTCCCTCTTATCCATCCAACCTTTTCTGTGTACTTCAAACTAATTCAGGTTTGGAAATCCACCCGCTTGAGGGCAAAACAGATTCGGACTATGGTCTGGCACCAAACTGTTCAGAATTAATCTGCTAATTGCAAAACCCTCCCATCCTTCTTTTGTTGATTCCAGCCCCACCTTTCCTCCTGGGTAGGTTGATTTGGCTCTAAGTCATGTGGTTTCATAGAAGGATGCCTGCAGTGAACAAGCTTCTCTTGCCAAACCCTCACAAAGGGTTCACAAATTAACTTACGTACAAATTAATTGCTACATTTACACTTTTACACAATTGAATATTCTTATGACAGATTCTGTTATGGGCTTTTAAGGGCCATTCTACAAAAGATGTGCCAGCGAGCTAACTGGGGTGAACATTCAGCAGGGAGGTCCCGTCTATCTGATAAGAATGTTGAATGTGATGCATTTTCCCTTCAGACTAGTGCTTTTTAAAATCATGTCAGCTGTACTTTTTTGAAATCAAGACAGTGTTAGAGAAACACCCCAAGTGTGTAAAGTATGCAAATCAGCATCAAGTACTCTCTCAGAAAAGCAATTGCAAAATGTATTGCTTCAAACCACCGAAGTTACCAAACCAAGCCACAAACATCAGAATTGGTGCAGCCGGTTGAATAGTTAAGGGCAAACTGTACTACCGATGTATCTCAGTTTTATAGCACCCATAGTAATTGTGACTCTATCTATAAAATGCTGGGAATTATAGTATGGGCTGCATCTTGCTATTTTCCCTAGCCTGTTCACTGAACTACATTTCAGGGTTTCCATTAGACGGAGGACTATTAAACCCATTTAAAGCTGTAATGAAGACCTGACCTAAAAATGGGTTATTCAATCTCAAGTCAAAGATAGATTCCTGAAGTTTTAAAATTAGCCTTGTGTTTTAAAGTCATATCAAAATTAAAGATTGTCCAAATTACTGGTGCACAAATGTTCTTATTGTAGTACACATTTCTCTCACTGACTATAATGGGGGGGGGGGACGGTATACGTGAAATCCTTTGTACTTACCTGTGAAAATTATGATCATGAAAATCTATCACACGTGAGGTAGCCGGAGGAATTCCAAGGACTGATCTTCCCAAAAGAAAATGGGAATATTCAACTTTCAAGGGAACAATTCAGTTAACACAGACCATGAAGATTTCTGGAATCCACCTATAAGATGCTGATTTAGCTGTCTCATATATGGTGTGTCTGAAGCAATGCTCAGTTCTCATATTGCAATCCATCCATATTACTAATTCCATCATTCCTCCATCTTGTCTAACAGATATGAAGATGAAATTAACAAGCGAACAGGTGCGGAGAATGAATTTGTAGTGCTCAAGAAGGTAAATAATTTGCCTACAATGTCAGGTTCTCGGTGAGATCAGAAAAGAACCTTTGAACTCGTTAAGCTGAGCAAGTCTGTTTTCTGCTCAAAACGTAACAGACTTTTCCTATGTTTTGTGCAGGATGTGGATGCCGCCTACATGAACAAGATTGAACTTGGTGGCAAGTCAGACTCCCTGACTGATGAAATGGAGTTCTTGAAAGCACTGTTTGAGGCGGTAAGCTTTCCCACTGAAGCTCTCAAAGGCCCTATTTCTAAACTGAAGATGAGCTCTAGGTCTATATCAGAACACTAGAGAATTTAGCCCTTGATCTAAACTAAGCCTAAGCAAATATAAAGGTAAAGGTAAATCTAAATCTAAATCTGATTAAAGGCAGGGTCTCTCCAAGATCTGTTAACTGGAGGTACAGGGAATCGAATCTGGCATTTTTTATGTGCAAGGCACGAGCTATGGTATCAGCAGAGATCATGGATTATATTACCGCTCATCCCCTTAATTAATTCTCTGATATTTCTGTTTGCCACTAAGTAGACTATAAATATATTGGAAGAGGAACTCCCCCCAAAAATGCTCTTGAAAGCCAAAAAAAAAATAAATAAATGTATTTTTATGAATAGAAATACCAGTTTCCTTTCAGTACCAAAAAAAAAATAAACATCATTTTCTTGAATGCATTCAGAATTTTAGGTGTTGCTCTAAAGCTTGATAAATTCTCCAGTTTGAAGTCTTCCATTATGGACATTTTCTTCCCTTAACCACCTCCAACCATGCTCAGTAAAAATGGTAATTTGTTAGCACATCAACTTAATATAACAGAAAGAGATCAAATGTAAAAAGCAAAATCTCATAATTAAACAGAAAAATAAGCAGGGGAAAAGCTATACAGTACTCTTTTCTAGCGATGCCAAAAAAGAATGAGGGACTAGAATCCCTAAGATGATCACATCACAGTGATTTGTTGGAACTCGTTGTGTAATTTTTTTTCTTTTTTTACATCCCACCGTGGAAAACATTACATCAGTTTTTCCTTTAGAAAGGATATTCTTCCCCTCACCAGTTCCCACTTGCTTGGTTACGTGTTTGAAGAGCTGAACAGATGTTAAGGCAAGCAGAGACTTAATGACATCAATTATCACATCTTGTGCAACATAGTCACAATTTCCTCCAGCTATGGCTGGATGAAGACAGAAGAACTGTATTTAAATAAGACATCTCCACACTGCAAGGTTGTCGAGTCTGGACTTGATGCTAGCAAGCAATGGAAAAAAATCCACCCCCTTCCTTGGCAGCTTTTCCAAGTGAAATTAATCACTTTGATTGGGAAACATTTATGAGTTACGGAACATATTTGATTGAGCTTGGATTCCAGTTATTGGGAATAATAAGTTCTTTCACTAAAATTCCTAACTCTAACAAAATGAATTACAAGGAGAACTGGAGGGGTGCATCCAAACTGGAATATAAATTGAAAAGCTTCAGACAAACTTGAATTAGGATTTGCTGAATTTTGCTCTAGCACTGTTATGTACTAATCCATTTTTCCTTGTCTGCTTCAACACAGCCATATTTCTTTTGCCCCATAAGTCCAGGTGACACAGTTTTTAACTTTCTTGCAGGAATTAGCTCAAATGCAACAGCAAGTATCAGATACCTCTGTCATATTGTCCATGGACAACAACAGAAACCTGGACTTGAATAGCATAATTGCTGAGGTCAAGGCGCAGTATGAAGATATTGCCAACAGGAGCAGGACTGAGGCTGAATCATGGTATCAAAGCAAGGTGAGTAGCTAGAATAAATTCATTAAAGGCCCAGAGCAATTTTTCATAAACAGGTTGGACTACAATTCCCAGGATTTCCTGCACCAGAGGGCAGCAGGTTGTAAATGTGCTATCTTCCCATCCTGGAGAAAGTATGCCAGCATCAATTGCGCTGAGCCCCGTTCTGCCTTAGGGCCAGCGAGGGGTGCTGTCCTTCCAGCTTTAATGGGAAAATGAGCTAACGCACTCACTTGGATGCCTTTCCCCACCCTGGGTGTCTCCTGCTGGTGGGAAAATCAGCCATCAATCACTCTTCTGAGCATGTGGTGGCACAGGATTGGGTGACCATAGGCAGGTGCCTGAGACAAAGGGCTTAGTCCCCTTTCAAGTTGCCTGAGGGACAAGTCACAGGTGCACAGATGTGAGCTGTCGGGCAGGCTATTTCTGTTCCCCCTTTTTGGTTTTAGTATTTTTAGGAGTCCTTCTGCAGGAAAGCGGTGTGGAGGGGAGGGGGAGAGAGAGAGAGGGAGAAAGACCTTGCTTAAAAAAAACTGTACTGACAGGTCAGAGGCCTGGAGAAATCTGGGTGAAGTAAGAGAGAGCTCTCTGCTCCAGTGCTCTTCACCAACTCTCCTCTGGGTCTGTGATTTGCATGCTGGATGCAGAGAATGAGTCCAAAGAGCAGAGGGGGCATTCCCCCTGCTTCCCCACATCTGTTGCACAACTGACCTATCACAGGTACAAAGGAGGGGTGCATGATGGAGCAGGAGGCAGGGGAGAAGTCTGTTCCCTCCTCCTTCAACCTGTCTTTGTGACTTGTCCATCAGACTAACATCGGACATAAGTTTAGTACTTTCTCTCTCTCTCTTTCTCGCACATACACACATACACACCCACAGACTCTCTACATAAAGAACTGCAAAGAGTGCAGGAATCAACTTGGGACGATGGACAGAATGCAATCACTTTTAGCCAGCAAAACCCTACCATTAGCGTGGCTCCCTTTCTGCACATCTACTCCCGGACTGCAAGCCCTGGGCATCAGTCTCTGAGCTTGACTCTAGATGCTACATTTCCTCAACCTACAAAGAGTCCTTGAAAGACCTTTTGCTCCCACATAACAGAATGTCTTCCCCAACCTCTGGGCTGGGTGTCATTTTCCATCTCCTCTGTTTTGATGATACCTCTGTTTATTTCTGAATGTCAGTATGAAGAACTACAGGTGACTGCTGGGCGCCATGGCGATGACCTTCGCAGCACAAAGACAGAAATTTCTGAGCTTAACCGGATAGTCCAAAGACTGCGAGGTGAAATTGATGCCTTGAAGAAACAGGTGACATTTTAATGGACCTTACTGTTTAGCTTGTAGGACAGACTAAAGAATAGTTGCCCTTTGCTTTGCCAGAGCAGATCTGTACCACTAGTTCTCATTTGTAGGGAGTGACTCAACAGTCTTCCAAGCACTAATTCAGTACATTGCTTACATATAGAAATATAGAAAAGAAAGGGAGAAAATTACTTTGAATTACTTTCCATGATCCATAGTGAGTTTATCATGAGGAAACACCCCTGAAGTGGTATATTCCAAAAGAAAGAAAGAAAGAAAGAAAGAAAGAAAGAAAGAAAGAAAGAAAGAAAGAAAG